ATCACAACTGTTTCAAGTTTGTTTCAGCAATTTTTATGTCCACATTTTGTACAGTCAATCATCTTGTGTAGTGTCCTATATAACAGTCTGTCTGGGATGTGTGGCAATTTTATTTGGCAGAGAAGCAGAGGTACAAGAGCATGTTTTATTACAAATCACAAAAGATGTGTATTGATAGTTCATCTCAAGGAAAAATGAATCTTTTAAAAAAAAAAAAAAAAAAAATGAAGAAAAAAATCCCCTCTCAAACAAACGCATTTATAATATTGTCATGGCAATTTTCACCCCCCTCTTGATGTACCATTGTGGAATGAATGCTTCTCATTGTTATATGGAAATATCCCTGCTGATGGAAGTGAACTAGGTTTTGTCTGTGCTCGGAAATGGAAATAGGGACGTTGCTGCTGCTGCTACTACTACTGGGATTAGTTGGCGTTTAAGCCAAACTCTTATGAACCCTACCCCCACTTTTCACCATTTCTGTTGACTGAAAGCAGGGTATATTTACTTTCCTTTTGTTATTAGACCACTTCCCTCCTTTTCTTGAACCCTCCATACTATTTTTACATTAAATTTATCTTATTCTGTACCCGTAATCTCTACAAAATTAGTTATGGTCCACTGAATTTCTCTTAAGATTGCAAGTGAACTAAAAGAAATCTGAAAACATGAGCCATCCATTCTTTCAATAAATGCATGTTTGCAGTTTTCTATTTTAAAAGAAAGCTTATGGACTTTTCTTTTTCTTATCCCACCCCCGCCACCCCAAAGTGAATACCATCTTATGTCATTTATAAGTAAACCCGCCCCCAAGGTTGATTTCATAATTGGTAACCAACACTTGATGATTGTACAGTATATGGCTGGTCCAACCATACTTGACAGCTGGCAAGTTTGCTATGGTTTTTTGTTTGTTTTTTTTTTTTTTTCTTTTTTTTTTTTTTTTTTTTTTTTCCTCCTCCTGCAAAAAATTGTTAACTTGGTTCAAGTTGTACAAGAGTAATTACCCTCAATGAACATGTGAGAGAAAGAGTACAGAAAACCCTTTGATTAAACTGCAGTGTTTTCATCATAGCCCATCTACTTAGCTACATTTACATTTCACTTGAGGCCACCATTGTGGTTCAGTGTATGAATTCTTTCATTTGACATTTACTAATAAGAATCTCATACTCAGAATTGCTGTTATGTACTGATGTCTTGTTCATTTGTAATAACTTGCATTAAGATTGTAAAATTGCTAATTTTATTTCCATACTTGTACTAGAAAAAAGGTAGTGCTCCCATGTCTTTGTCTTGTGAAATAAATGGTTTTAAAGTTACTATTTTCTGTTATTTTTGACCTCCCCCTCCTCCCCTTTAACTTTCTAATTTGTAGAAGACCTGTTTTACTCACTGATAAATACTCTTTAATCATAAAGGTGGGGGCAACCTTGCTTAATATTTACACAAATTGAACATTATTTCAAATGATGCTCATCTTGTCATTAAACCATGCAATATTTGGTTTGTTCATTATCCTATTCTCTCTCCCTCACATTCATTATTGAGGATCCATTTATTTCTGATAACAAGTTTTGTCTTTAACTTTGTTTTTCAAGCAACTGCTGTATTTAATCACTTGTTATTTGAGGCTAATGAGGTGTGGGGACTTGAGCAAGAAGCATTTTCAACTGCATGCTCTTTGTTTGTTGAAATGGGAGGCTGAAGAAATTGAGGTTGTGGTTTTGTAGAGAAAGTATTTATACTTGTTTGAACTTATAGCCAAAACATTGTCAAGCGTTAGTCCTAACTTTCTTTCTCACAGTCATAATTCCTGTTTACTAGAGAGGGTTTTGGTGTTCGTTCCTCTTTATTTCCCCAGCTGTTTGCTGGTAGACTTACTGTGAAATTGTTACTGCTAGTAGACAATATAGGTCTTGTACTATGTACTCTAAGCACTACATTGACTGCTCTTGATGTAATAATAAAAACTTACCGCCACAGACAGAAACAGTGTTCACTTTTAATTCTGTGAAAATTCCACCTCCCCTTTTCACCCCTCACACTAAGAATTTTTTAAACTGCAACTGATGTTGGCACTTGACTTTCCCCTTGTTTGATATATTTTGCTTATCCTGTTTATTTTTGTTTTTGCTTTATTAGGAATTTAATCTTGAGTGAATGTTGTAAATACCCAAAATGTTTAACTTGTATGTTTTAAAGTTTCTTTCATGGAGAAAGCAGATAGGTCCTTTCAAAGCCCTATTAGAACAGGCTTTCTCTTCCTCTCTTTTTTTTTTTTTTTTTTTTTTTTTTTTTTAATCAGTAATTACAAAGAATTACTCTAAAAAGCTATTAGAATCTAAGCAATCTTTGTATTGCTTATGTAATAGTGCCTGTAAATAAACATATCATTTACTTAAAGCTTTTATCAAATCACAGCTGTAACTATTTAAGCCAATTTACTTTCTATATAGGATATTTTCTATTTATCTAAATAGCATAACTACCCCCTTTTTCCTTTTCTCGCCTCACCTTTTTAGTGATTTGTATCTTTTTGCTCTTAAATGTTTTGGCTGAAAGTGTTCAGTAAATGTCTGATATTTGAAAATTCATTCTTCACTTTATCAAATGTTCTCAGTTACATACACAACACCTGTCATATGCAATCAGGCAAGTTATTTGAAAAATAAGCATCTATTTTAAACGCCTATTATTTTTTTGAATTTCTACCTTTCAATCTTAGCATTCTATTCATTAGGCCAAATTCAAGTAAATAAATGTAAAATTGTAAGCCATCTCGTTAAACATTGCCTTTTGTAAATCATTGCTACTGCAATTTCCTACTTAAGACTTTTTCACATGTTCATTTGTCATTGATGCCAAAATATGCATGTTTTTTTTTTTTTTTTTTTTTTTAATCCTGCACACATCATACCAACATTTTGTAGATGTCATTCAAGATTACCTATTTTTATAAAAAGTTTAATAAAACCATGAAATTTGTAGATGCCAGAAATCATTAGACAAGTGCTTTTATCCTAATTGAAGGCAAGTTAATTATGCCAAGAAAAAGTTCTTGTGGGTTTTTTTTTTCTTTATTCATAAAACTAGATCTATAAAGCCTTTTTAATGTTGAAGTATTGTATATTGATACCTCTTACCATTCTCATCCTTGACTGCACATGACATAGAAGTTGATATTTTTCCAGCTTCTAAACAATTTTTAATATTAAACTTCTCTTTTTTTTTTTTTTTTTTTTTTTTTACTTTCATGGAACCTTACTTTTCAAATTTATTACCACCACCAATCTTTAAAGTGGTCTACACCAAAGACCTCCCCTCCCCACCTTTTTTTTTTTTTTTTTTTTTTTTTACTGTATATACATTTTTGCTTGAAGTTTGCTTTCTATTTTGATAGCTTAATATGTCAAACCTCTTAAAATGAACCAGGCCACAAAGAAATTGGTCCCTGTACAGTTAGCATCTTCACAGGAATAAAATGAGTTTTCATTATGGCTACTGCTTGCCAAATAGAGAATCTGTGCAAGTCCTGGCTACTTACCTGATTGAAGTTTCAGGTATCTGAAAAGGTATGAATCAAATTGAACATTTCTGTGAGTGGGTAGGCATGCATTTTTCAACAAATCTGCATAAGTATAATGCAGATGAACTTACATATCCAGAAGATTGACTTATTGCACAGGTACATTTTAAATATGCACTTTTTTTTTTTTTAAGTTGCTGCTTATCTCTTTCCAACAATCATGTATGAATATTGGCCCTTTACAATCATTATTGTATCTATGAAGAATGGTTTACTGTTCTTGGAGGAATTACAAAATAAGTTTTTCTTATGAAAAGAACATTTTCTTTAAGCTTGTTCCAAGAGTAATAAATTACCATAGTTATAACACTTTTTCTTATGGTTGCAATGGGCAATTTCACATAAGCTTTTAAAACATTTTCTTCTGGTTAACATAATTTAATTTTTTTTTTTTTTTTTTTTTTTTAAGATTGATAAAATTATAAAGTATTCTTGTATCTTAGCTGAATTTCATTTTACTGGTTGAAATCACTGACCACGTTGAACATCAATAGATATTTAAAAAATACATTAAAATATTTAAAATCAAAGGGAAATAACTTCAAGAACACTCGTGAAAATTTTTTTTTTATTATTTTTAATCTCGGTCACAGTAACGCAAGGAGGTTACTAGGTGAAAATGAAAATAAAAACCTTAAGGGGACAAGATAATGATTGACATTTCATTTAAATTTTTGAAGAACGAAGTTGACTTACATATGCGTGAAAAATGTTAGCATAAAACTTAGCTGAATCTACTCATTTCAATCTGGTGAGATCTTGCTGTCAGTTTAGTAGTATGCTTACATTTATAATGTCTATGTATCAAAAACGGAAATCTCAGAACAAGTCATGTGAAAACTACAGTGGGGAAAGTGACAAGCTGAAATGTCAGGGCCAATAACTTTGCAGATTTTTTTTTTTTATTTTTTTTTTTGTTGACTCTTAAATATATAGAAGCTCCAGACCAGATTCTTTTGGTTGATTCAAATTGTTTCATTTGTTTCTGTCTTATCAAGTAATTTATTTTTAAAAAAAAAAAAAAATCCTGAAAAGGCGTTTTGTGCAGTATTTTATTGCAATATAACTGTTATTGGAAGATCTCCCCTTTTTAGTCATGGTAAATCACAAATTAAAATTTGACTCTCCACTCAATTTTCCAGAGGATCTAAGGCATTTAAAATATTGATATTTTTGCTTTAAAATAATGGGGGGGGATTATTTTAAGCCATATTATGTCAACCACTAAATGTTTATGTACTTCCCCTCCTCCATCTCGTCAAAAATTTCCTTAGTTTAAGATTTGACAGAAGGTACCAAAATGAAGTATTGTAACAAGATAATTCACCGCTTCCTAGTATGGGCAACTTTTATACCAAGGAATTCTTTTTATGCTGTTTAATGTTGAAAAGTATACTGTTAGTAACTTAGA